AGTCAGGGTTGTTTGGGGTGGCCCGAGACAAGCTGTGAGGGTGCAGGGTGGTGTGTGTGGGGTTTTGCACCCTTGCGCCTACAGCTGAGTCTCAGACACTCGGGACCTGTCCCCAGGCTCTCTGTGGTGTCCGTCTGGCCCTCACCTCCCGGGCCCTGCGTGCAGAGTCCCGGCCCTCCCCGCCCCCTGCACAGCACGCACATGGACCGTCTGTCCCATGCTCTTGGTGTGCTCTTTGTGTTTTTGCAGGACATTGGTGTGGTTTCCACGTTTCCAAGTCCATCTGGCTGAGGCAGGATGGGTTCCAGTGCCGTAGCTCCCTTGTGCCCAGATTCCCTGGTGCTCAGAGAAACCCTTCAGCCTTTCTGAGCCCGTGAAACAGGAGAATCAGTCCCACCAGAAGTGTGGGGATGATTCCCTGAGGTGACTGTAAGTGGGAGCCTGCAGGGGTTTGGTCAGTGGTTAGCACTCTTGCCATTATCTTCTCAATTGTTTTATACAAACTCAAACTGGTCCAGCACAGTGTCCCAAGGAAACTTAGCGGCAGTGTAAATGGATGGGTCCACTGCAGGTGGCTGTGCCCTGTTTCTCAGCCATGGGCCCCAGGCTGCCCCTCCCACCTTGACCCTACTTCTCCCTTCCAGGATAGGGCCTGTGGTCATTCTGAGAACACTGCTGTTACCTTAAGGTCACTGGGACTCCCCGAGGGTGCCCTCCTCTCTGGCACCCTGCCATCTGTTTCCTCTCAGCTCTCCTTCCCTGCCAACCCCGTGCCCTCTGTGGGATTTGCATACAGGTGCCCCTGGGGGCAGCTGAAGGGTCGGGGGTGGGGCCAGCAGCCCATGCTGGGTGGGCCAACATCACAGGAGCACAGGTGGTGGGACAATGGCCCTGCGGAAAGTGGGTTTTATTCTTCCGCCACTTCCTCAGAGCTGTGTCTTTGCTCCTGTGCCAGTGGGGCGGGGAGGGGGGCCTCTGGTGTTTGGGGTCTGTTGGGGAGCCCTCACTCTGACAGTAGCTCCCCTGGAGCTGGTCCCATTTAGTCACTGAGCCTCAGCCCCTTGTCTATGTATAATTGGGGTGATGGGGGCACAGGGGGAAGCCTGCAAGGCTTGTGTAAAGAGGAGCTAAGGCCCTGTGCCTGCTGGGACAGACCGGGGTGGGGGTGTCCCTGCCATTGGCCCAGGCTGTACTTTCTCAAAGGCCCCCCAGGAAGACTTTCAATGCTCACTCCAATAGTGGGGGGTCAGCTAGGCAGGCCCGACTGCAGACCCTGTAGTGGGTGCCTGCAGGGCTGTGAGTTCCAGGGGCACTGTGGATTATTATCCTGGTGACCCCCAGTGAGAACCATCCCTTGTGGCCACACCTCCCAGGCACTGATCCGATGCATCCATCCCCACCTGCCCTCTCCCACTCTCCCTCCTGCTACCCCATCTACACCCCATCCATCCTCATGGACGGCAGGCTGGACGTGGAGACTCAGGGCTATTGATGGGCTCACTGTAGCCTCAGCTACAGGCTCAGGGCTCTGGTGTGCATGTGTGCATGAGTGTGTGTGTGTGATGGGAGCACTACACGGGGTTCAGTAGGTTCTACACTGCTCTAACTCGTGAAGGTGGGCGTCCAGGGGAAGGTGCAGCCTGGGGCCCTGGACAGTCCCAGGCCAAGCAGGAGGCCCTGTGGTCAGTGTTCTCTGGCTGTCCTCATGGGCATGTCCTTCAGGCACCTGCCTGGGCTCCCCAGCCCTCCCCGTTGCCTCCATCCTCCTTGCCCTGCTCATGGTCCTACCAGATGGCTGCTGCCCGTCCCAAGGCTGGGCCTAGGGGAGGCGGGTGAAGCTTGGGCACCATCTTCCCTCTAAAGCTGAGGCTGAGAGCTTCCTCATGCAGAGGCTGCGCGGCCTGCATGGAGAGCCCTTCCCAGTGAGCTCCTGCTGACCAAGGCACCACAGAGACCTCTCTTTGTGGTGCAGAAGGCCCAGACGTAGCCCCGGCCTCTGAGCTGTGTCTGCGGGTGGGGACAGCACTGCTGGCCATTGCAAGGGCTCTCTGTGCTTGCAAGGGCACAGTGCCTGGCGCCTACGGGACATGTCCCCTTCCTCCTTCTCAGGGGCTGGGCCTGTGGGTTCAGTGATTGGTTGGGACATTCTGTGTGGTCCCCTTGGAGAGGTGAGCATGTTTGTCAGGAGAAGGGGGGTCTGTTCCCCACTACCGGCTCTGTGGAGGGCTCAGCTGCCCTTAACCTTCCTGGGCTCCACATCCACAGCTGGGATAGGAGGACCTTGGTCACCTAAGGGCACTGAGTGTGAGACTGGGACCAACTAGGGTCTGTCCCTTTGCTCTTCAGGAACCAGCTGCTGTCACACCCAGTGTGTGGGGTTGACCCAGGCTGGCTCTCTGCCTCCGGTGCTGGTGTGGCTGGGACCCCTAGGATAGTGTGTTTAAAAACCCAGTTCAGGCATCTCAGGACTGAGTTCTCCCAACATGGCCAGACTGTTGCTGTCTTCAGTCCTCAGCGTGTGGCCAGCCAGTGTCCACTGGCTCCACCAAACTCCACTCTTGGTGAGGTGGGAGCCGGACATTTAAGCAAGGGTGCATGCCCCCTGGGCTCTGCAGGAGGGCTCCCGTCCCATGAGACCATCTTGCATCTGTGAGCCATGCTCTTGGGCCACTAATAAGCTGACGCCACCAGCCTGGCCTGCCATGGCAACGGCCCGCAGCCCCACTCTGAGGCCAGGCTCCCGGGCGGCTTTATCTCTGAGGCCATCTGNACTCTGAGGCCAGGCTCCCGGGCGGCTTTATCTCTGAGGCCATCTGTTCTGGGAGCAGAATTCCAAAGCCACTTAAACAGAGCCTGGAGCAGGGCAAGGTGCTGAGCCCGCTGCCGCCCTAGGAGTCTGCACACACACACACACACACACACACACACACACACACACACACACACGGACGATGCATGGACCCTGTGGGGTGCATGGAAACGAAATCGGGGTAGGCTTCCACACAGCGCTGCCTTTTCCCTGGGGACGGACACCCATCCCAGAGCCCTGGTGGCCGGCCTGTCTGCCCCTCACCTCTGCCTTTCTCTCCTGTGTCCCACACCCTTGTCTGTGCCTGCTTCTGTCTGGTCTCTGGACCCCGGCCTCGGCCCCCTGCCGCTGCCATGCTGTCGGCTGTTCTCCCTTGGCTCCTGCCAGACCTGCTGCTCTCTTCCTCACGGCTCCCTCTGTCCTGGCGAGGCCTTGCCTTCCAGAGGCTTATGGTCTCTGCCCATCATCGTGGGCGTGCCTAGAGCAGCGAGGCAGGGCCAGCCGCTCACCGCAGGTCTGGACCCTCCTGCCTTCCCTTATTTCACCCAAGATTGCCAGGCAAGGGGAGGAGTGCTACCAGACTCTGTTCTCAGCTTCCTGGGCCCTGCCCGGCACAGTGCACACAGAGTAAGGGGAGGCCTCCTCGGAGTCCCTCTGGCCCTCCCTGAGGTCTGACCTGGAGTCCTGTGCTGTGGCCCATGGTGGCCTCCGCTTCTCTGGGCAATCTCCCCCCACGCCTAGCTGCCCCTGGGCCATTGCTGAATCTGCTGTGAGCTGCCTGAAGACCCCAGGGCCACCAGGCTCAGGCCACCACCAGAGCCTGAGGGTCTGGTGAGCTGGGTCTTCCGGAATGATCTGCTGAGTCCTGGCTGGTGGTCACTCAGCCATGTCCCTTTGCCCTAACCCCCTTCTGCCTCTGAACTGCAGGTGGCCTTACTCATGGCTTGAGCCTTCACTTCTGGCTCCCTCCAGCCTTCAGAAGGGGTGGGTGTCTAGACTGTGCTCTGAGAGGCCTTGGGCAGGTCCCAGGTCATGGCAGAGAGGGAAGGGGAGCAGAGGGGCAGACCTGTGGGGCTTCTTGGGCGCACATGTCATGAGGGCTCTACTAAAGCCAGCCTGAATGGCCAATGGCCACAGTACTGAGCTGCCCCCCCAACCCCCTGCACCAGGCCACTGGGCCGAGCCCATGACAGGCCCCCAGGACAGACCCTGCTGTGGCCCTTACTTCAAAGGCATGCTGCTAAGTATGCGGCCTGCTGAGTCTCTGCTGAGAACAGAGCTGTGGAAGGTGATGTCCTGAGGGCTTCCCTCAGGTGGGGGTGGCTGAGCTCAGTGCTGCCCAGCCTCTGGTCAAGGGGAAGGAGGTGCCTTGGCTGCAGAGCACCTGAGAGGCCAGGGCAATAGCTGCCCTTGACAGTCAAGCTGCATTCTGCAGACAGGGAGCTCTCTCAGGGGCATGATGGCTGGAGGTAACCACTCCTCACACTGTAAAGGGCCCACAAGTCACTTGGGGTCACCTGTTCAGAACATGGATTTTGACTTGCCTGGCCCATGTGGACCTGGGGCTCCTGTGCCGGTCCCTCAGCACACTGTGAGTAGGGTGGGGTGGCACGTGGAGGAGCCTGGAGGTCCCCCGTGGAGCTCCTCAGGGCTTCAGAGGATACATCTGTTTTGTCCCACTGGATTCCGAATTTGTACAAGGGGTTTTGTTATGTGATCGACTATGAGGCGGTTTGGTTTTATCAAAGGAGAAAGCACAGGCCTTCCTAGAATCCCCCACTGTTTCTTTAAATAATCAGTTGTAGTCACCTCCATCCAAAGAACATATTTCCCCAAAGTCAGGGAGTCCTACTCAGGCGGGGTAGGAGGGGACTGCCACCTGCTGGCACCCGGTGTCTGTGGTGCTTGGAGGGACGCTTTGGCTTCCTGGGTTCCCCAAGTTGGGAGGCAGGGGTGTGGTGGGGGGCCCGCCAGAGTGACTCCTCACCACCAACTGGAGTGGGAAACTGAGTCATGGGAGGGCTGTGTGAACACGTCTGTCACTGCAGAGGAGAGACCTCCCAGCCCATGCCAGAAGCGTGTATAGTCACCTTCCCTGACCCCACCCCTTCCCTGCCCCTCTCACCTGCATCAGTTCTCTGCCTTTTCACTGTACTGCCCTCTAACCAGACGACTCCCCTTTTATTTCCAGCCTGATCTTGGTCCTGAGCCTCAGACCGAAACCCATATCCTGGAGCAGAGCTGTCAGTCCCCAGGGACCTGCTCTCGCCCTGGACCCCAGCTCAGTGAGTGGCACAGCCCCCTCAGTGGCTCAGGTCAGCCCTGGAGTCCCACATGGCTCTTGCCTTCCCTCTAGCCCTACCTAGACCCTCAGCAGCCCCACCTACCCCCAGTGTTCCCCTGCTTCCCCATGGACCAGCTGCTGCCCTTGTCCTGCTGGCTGCCCAGCCGCCTTCACTGGAGGTCCCCCTGGAGCCCTGGAGACATCCAGTGGTTTGTTGGTGGTCACAGAGCTGTAAGGGGACAGGGGCGGCCTGGGATCTGCCTCATTCTGGCTCTGGGACAGGGACACCTGACCGCAAAACCCATTCCCCCAGCTTGCAAGGCAGTAGATAGCCTGGGAGTGCTGGGTACTCGCTACAGGCTTTGCCTACTGGTGGGTCTGTGAGGACAGGGACTGGTAGTTCCTTCTCTCCATCCCAACATCTCGAGGGCCAGTGTTGAGGACATCTGCTCTGGAGGAATGTGCGAGGGGGCTCTTAGGACTGGTCTGCCCCTCCCACCTCCCATGGGTCCATCCTGGGCTCCTTCATGGCAGGAGAGAGCCTTGCCCAGCCCTGCCTCCCAGGCCTCTAACAGAACCAGAGGATGCAGGATTCCTGCCATGCACCTTACCTGCAGCAGGCTGCACACAGGCTTCCACCTGTCAGGGGCAGGCGCCTGAACAGAGGCAGGCAAGTATTCAGAGCTAAGGGTGGTTGGAGACATGCAGGGGGTGACCCCTGAGTTGCCTCAGGGGTGAATGGGAGCTTCTCAGTGTCAGGGGAAGCCAGGTGGAGGGCACAGCCAGGCCTGAAGTTGGGACTGTCCAGCCAGGTCTGGTGATGGCCAAACTCTTTGCTCTAAAGTACTCCGGTGGGCAGTGAAGGGTCATAGGACAGGGTGAGGCAGGAGAAATCATTCCAGAAAGGTCCCCGCTGCCTCCCCCTACCACTGGTTGAGACTGATTTGCAGACCAGAGTTCCTCCCTTTCCCCGTGCCCCTGTGAGTCCGCCCCACTAGCCACCATCCCTAAGGGGGCAGGCTCCCCACCGCAGCCCACCACAGCCCAGGGGCCACAGGGGCCTTAGCCGCTCAGCAGCCAAAGATTGCGCTGCAGGGGAGGTCAAGATTCCCCAGACCTGAGGCTGCCCCACCCCATCCTGACTGGTCGGCCACCAGGTTTCCGGCCTGACACGGTCTGGGGTGAAGCAGGGAGGGAGGGAAAGTGGGAGGTGGAACGAGCAGGGGAGGCGGGGAGGGGGCAGCATCTCAGAGCAGGCGCCTCCCCTCCCTGGCTGGTTCATCCTGGTGTGAGGGGCTGTGTCTTTGCTTCCCCCCACCTGCAGGCGGGGCCCATTGTGTAGGGAAGGGAGCCTCATTGGCAGGGCATCAGTGTGTGATCATCTGCTCCCTGGCCCTGATTGGCTGGATGAGAGGCCCCCCCCCCAGGACCCGGGACACAGAAGTTTGTGCAGCAACTTTTTCCAGCGTGAAGTGATCGTGTGTCCAGGCTTCAGAGTGGAATTGTGCCTGCCCAGCAAAGATGACTCTCTGTGGGACCTTCCTGGGTGCGTACCTCCCCCCATCTCCACACACCCCTCCCCAGGCCTGTTCACATGTTTCTGCCAATATGCCGAAGGGACTAATTAGCTGTGTGTTCCATCAGCGCTCTGTGCTCTTTCCTGGGCAGCCAAGGAGGTGACAGACAGGCGCCCTCCTGAGTGAGGCCAGGGCTCTCAGCCCGATGCCTCCCCTTCCAGCTGGTCGACTGGCTTGCAGAACCCTGTCAAGACTGCCGTGTCTGTGGGCTTGCCTCCCAAGGTTGGAGGTGGGGTGGGTAGTGGGTGGAGGTGGGTGTGTGCAGGCGCAGGAGCTGCGCTCTGGGAGAAGGCGGGTGGAGAGAAGGTGTGTGTGGCCGGAGAAGTCCACTGCTGCCGGAGTCTCCACCACACGCAAAGTTACTCTGTGTGTGTGTGTGAAACAGTAACACCGTGTGAGAGCAAGTCAGTGTGGGCATGTCCCCCACGGTACCTCCAAAACATGGTGCGTGTGCTCACACCAAGTCACGGGGATGCTGTGTTTGATATCTCAGCATGAAACAGTCTCAACTATGGCCCAGAGTGTGTGTGAATGTGTGTGCACGTGCGAGTCTCACAAGCCAGCGAGTGTGAGGCAGGCACACAAAGTCAGCGCAGGGCGGTGTGAAGAGTGGCCCTCGTTTTTGTTCGCCCCATCTGCCAGAGCCTGCCCGGGGCAGCGGCCCCCCCACCCCCCGCCTTCAGCTGTTCGTATACAATATTAATGCTGACCATCTCGGGCTCCGCACACAACGGCTCTAATTGTCGTCTGCAGCTTTAAGGCGGGCGCCCATCTGCAGGGAAGCTTTCAGAAAGAAACAAGGAAACCCTCACCCCCAGCTGGTCACCGGAGAAGGTGGTGCCAATTACAGATGCGAAAAGTTTAGACCGAAATTACTTGAAAGAGTTTTTATGAAGCAAATGAACTGACATTCGGGATGTCTGTGTGCAGATTTGCACACGTAACTGCATGTATTTGAAGTCAGCGTACCAGCCGAGCAGTCGTTACGCGTCTCTCCTTTGCTCCCACAAAGCACTTCCTCAGCAAGCCCGGAGTTTGGTTTTGCGAATCTCCCCCTTTTCTCCCCGTGTGGAGTTTGAGGACCCGCCAGTCAGGCAGAGGTTGTTTCCCTGTGGCTCTTCCCAAACTGGAAAGTCACAGGCTACTACCCCCACAGATTTTCATGAAATAAAGCCTAATGGAATAATGTGGTCCATGCTTGGTTATGGGAAAGAAAATATTTTAAGATTAAAAAACATCCTGATGATTTTCACCCCGTGTAAGAAAGCACTTACAGGCAGGGCTGGAAGGCTTGTTTGGAATTTTCTCTCCCAGCCCGGGGTTCAGTGGCTGCGTGGGGGTCCTGACTGAGTCTCTGTGCTGAGGACAAAGGGCCTGGAGCGGGCAGAGAGCGCTGTCCGAAGTGCTGATCAGACCGCGTCGCAGGGCTGCCCCACTGCTCAGGCTGCGGGCAGCCGCCGAGCCCCGAGACTGGCCAGCAAACTCCCTTCTCTGCTCCTTTCCTGCGGCTCCTCCTCTCTCTTCACAGAGTCAGCTAAGGCTTTTGAAACTTTACTCATCAAAACCCGTCTTCTGAAACGGCTCCTACTCTGTGACCAGCAGGAGCCCCGAGGCTCCTCTCCAGGCTCTTGGAACAGGCACCGGCTCGAAGTTCCTGAGCACGTGGGGAATGCGCGCCCGAGCGGCCGCAGGTGGGGTCCGGAGCCCCCACCCCGACCACCGGAGCTGCACACCTCGATGGGGAAGGTGTGAGATGCTGAAAGTCCAGGTTTGCAAATGCGATTTGTTACCTGGAAAGTTAATTGTGCTGCCCCAGGCCTTTTTGTGGCATCCTGATCGCTCTGTCTTTACCTCTGTTTGTTGTTTCCTAAGTTTGACTGTTGCGTTTCTGAATTAAATACTTGCATGGAACACTGGGTATTGCTCGAGGACAAGGCTGAGGCAGCACCGGCCCCCCCTTTGATTCTATCTTCATGGGGTAACAATGGCGAGCAGGGCTGCTTGAGCCTGCAGCCTGCTGATAAGAGTTTAATAGAATTTCTGAATGCCAAAGGTTTGGGATGTAAAATATCCCGGAACACACAGCATGTCCAGAGGAGACAGAAAATGGCTTCCAGGAGAGCTCTCAATTGAGTATGTCCTTCGATGCTCATGGTTTGAGCCCCTGAAATAACAAAAACAATGGTAGGCAGTTATTATAGGAGCCTCAAACAGTTCTCATTTAGCTAATTAATATTTCATCCTCAGTTTGACCGGTGACGGCTTGCATTTTTTTCGTTTTGCTCAGTATACGAGATGGCCCTGAGTGCGTTTTGCTTTATTGGTTGAGAGTAATGTGGTGTCTGTATGAGAACCAAACATACTTATTTGCTTTTTGGATGAGGCTCACTGGTTTGCGTGTAATGTGATGTGAAAGCAGCACTGCATTTTGAAAGTATTTCTCATGAGAGAGTTTTAGTTGATTTTCAAAACATGCTTTCTTCGAAGAAACTAAGTGTTTTAGTTCTGTCTCATTCCTGCTTTTGGTGGCCTGAGCCCTTTAGTGTTGATTAGGTTGGGGGCATTGTGTTCCTGCCTAACTCACCGAGAAATGGTATTTCCTGTCTGCTGAAATCTCTGCAGGGCACTTCTGAGCCACGAGCTTCTCTGACCCTCACACTGGCCTGTGACGGCGTGTTCTTAGCAGGTGTCCGAAATTCAGTTTGTGTCATGTTTCACAGTACAGTTTCCAACACTCGAGTATGATGATGGACAACTGTTAGCCCGGTTTATCAGCAAGGAAAGGGAATTTGGACAGTAAGCAAGAATACCATGGCTCCTGGGCACTCTTCCTGAGGAAATTCCAATGTTCATACCTGAACGTGGAAAAAAAATCACAGACTGACAGATGAGAAAGCAAACAATCGGGTTGCCTAAAGAGCGGGTGGGCACTTCTGTTGTGTGTGATGGATTTTTCTCTTGGGTTTAATTGGAGGACTCCTTGCAGGCAGTTTAAAAAAGACTCAAAAAGAGAGCAGAGAACTTGCGCAGGGTGCTTTCCTCTGGCTGGGATAAATTTAGTGGTTTTAGGGCACAGAATACTCATTCCTCAGGGAGTACCCAAGCTTTCTTTGAGAGGGCTTATTATTTTAAAACCTAAAACAAAAAAGGGAATGTGTGATAAAGAGAAGGATCTTTTCCGGATCTGTTCTGTGTGTGTGACTTTAATTTTTGGTCTGTGGCCATAGGTACCATTTATGCACTTTAAAAAATACATGCCTATTTAAGTCACTGATTCTTGAATATGCAGATGAGCCAATTTGTAGCCCTCTGGTTCATCTGAGTATAAATTCTGCAGTCCGTTCTTTATGATGGTAGGTCATATTCCTAACCACCAATAAATATTGTAAAGTACTTTCGCTGCAGCCGTGCTAACCCAGGGCATCTGTCATTCCGGTTGCTGCTATTAGGAATTATTGGACTGAACCACTGGTGGAGAAAGCAGAGGGGGGTGAGCCTGGCGGTTGTGACGCTCTCTGCCCTTTTGTGTGTTTTGCATAAAGAAAACCCAATCATACTGCACATGAATTATGGATCTGTGTGGGCAAATGCAGGCACCTTCTGCTGGCTGAGGCTCGGGGCAGGAGACAGGGGCGCTGCTGGCCCGGGCACCTCTCACTCCCCAAGTCAGCAGATCCATCTCTCTGATGCTATACTGTAAATTTATTTCACCTCGGAGAGTAAACAGATATATTGGAGCCCCAAGGGTTCATGGGTAGCGTATTTACAAAGGAGCCTCTCCGCCAGCCCGTGCCACTGCTGCTAATGAGAGCGGTCATTAAGTAAATGAGACGTCGCCTTTAGCTGGCTTAGGAGTTCGCACACTAAGGGGAGAAGATATTTAATTGAAACCCTCACACAGGCTTCCCCACATGTGACCGCTGTAAGGGAGGCAGCTGCCTTCCCTCCTCCCCCGTCCACCCTGCACCCCCCCCATGTAAATTTCATGATTGCTTTCCGTGATGTCATTTTGAAAGAGGACAGACAATAGCTGTGGGGAAAGGTAAGTCAATGTTACGTTCTTTTGCTGACAAAGGCAGATATATCCAGGGCTTGGCTTTTCCCCTCAGACGGAGATGGAGAGGGCATGCAAGCAGAGTTAATTTCTAAGATGAAGGCTTTCTTTGCAGGAAAAGCAGGTCTGGGGATGGCTTTTTAAAGCTGCTCTGAGGGACCGGGGCTTTCTTCTCCTGGGTCTGCCCGTGGCTGCGTCCCTCTTTCTCTGACCCTTGCTGGCTTGCTCACGAGCCCGGCCTCTCTGAGAGCCTTAATGGACTGAGTCTAACAGAGAAAACATTGAGGGGGACCTGGTATCAAGACGAGAGAAACTTTACGCGCATTTCTGGAAGAGGAGAGCACAGATATATTTGCAGCTGTGGGACCCGGCGCGGTGTGCCCAGGGAACATGCTGGCTCCTTAAGGAGAAGACTTCCCTGGCGCGGGGAACTCGGAGTCGGTACCTCATCTACGACCAGCCCCCCAGCCCGCCCAAGCCCCGGAGGAGAGATGGTCATGTGAGCATTTTGTCCTTGCGTGTCACGTATTTCTAAACTTAAGGAACAGCATCTAGAGTGTGTGTATCCGTGGGGTAGACACACAGAACCAAATGCCGGCCGTTCCTCTCAGCTCCCTTCCTGGCCGTGTGACGGTCGCAAATGTGCTTACTTACGGTATTATTGTAACGGAGTTTGTCCATTTAAAACTAAAAACCAGGGTTGGCCCAGAAGTCTATGTGAGCCTCCAGCAATGTATGCCATTGCCTGCTGGCCGATGTGCTCTGGGCTGTGGACTTCATCTTGCCCGTGGGATGCACTGTCTTCTTTGTGCATCAGGAAAATAAACAGGCCCCCAGGGGCCCCTGTGTGGCGGTGCGGTGGGTCCTTACCTGGGAGGCCCATGTGTCTTCCTGAGTCACAGGGCTCTTCTCTTCTCAGCACCCCTTCAGCACCAGTGGGCATCATCGGCTGGTAAAGTTGGGTGTTTAATTTCTGAAACAAAATGTCTGAGAGGTGAGTCTGGCAGCAAGATGTGGGCTTGGTCTCGGGCCACCCGACCGTGTCACTGTAATGGCGATGATGGCAGCGCTCACCATCACTACCCTTTTGGGAGAGGGAGGTGAGAAATTTTGCCCTGGTGGTTTAAAGAAAAGAGAGGCTAGAGAAACGTGAGGATGCCGGGGATGCCGGGAGGGCAGTGGCTGAGTGAACAAAAGGCAAGGCAGTGTTGGGCAGGCCCGGGAGAGGCGAGCCCTCAGCCTCTGGGCAGGAGGGGGTGCTTCCTTCTGCCCCCTCCAGATGCGGCAGAGCCTGCCCTGTCCTCTCTCAGCCTGGGGAGGAAGAGTCCCCACCTGCGCTGGGCAGCAGCTGGGAGAGGCCTGGGCTCCTGGCCCAGGGCCCCGCTCCCATCGGTCCTTGGCTGTGATTATTACCTCCTCCCTTATGGCCCTGCTAGTTAATTGTAAACAAAAGAGTGGGGAGCAGGGATTGGAGTTTTGTGGCACCAGTGGGGAGGTGTCACCCATGGGCAGGACCCTGCCACCTTCCCACAGTTGTTCACTGTGCAGAGGAGGCCAGGTCCGGGTTGAGAGGTCAGTTTGTTTGCAAAGAGGAGGCAGCCTCATGAGTCCTGCTATCCTGTGGGGCTGGAGGCCGAGGCCCCTACAGGGTCTCCAAACCCCTGGGCATCTGGGTGGCACTGGACCTCACAGGGGTATTGGTTGATCTAGGGGGCTGGGCAGGGGCTGCACAGACTTGGACATGAAGGCCTTCCAATCCTGGGGCTGTCTGGGCTGTGACCCCCTTGGACCATGGGGTCCCAATGTGGGCCAGGGAGCTCACCCAGGGAAGGGGGCTGTTTCTGTCTAAAGTAATCCGGAAGGCCTGTGTGACCCTCAGGCATTGCCTGCAGGTCTGGAGGCAGCCTCAAATATTCTGAAGCAATGCTCCAGACCCTGTTGGGAGACTCTGGCAGAGGCAGTGGTCACTCATTGCCCAGTGCCCCTTGTGCCCAGGGGAGGAGAACCTGCTCTGAGGTGACCCTGCCCAGTGGGCAGTCTTTGGGCTACAGAACTGCTCCATCCCCAGGGGTCCCAGCAACTTGTCCCAAAGAGAACTGACTCAGGCCAGAGCTCGGCCTGCCCCCTCCGCTGTGGTAGATGCTCTCCCTGGTGCTGCCAAAGCCCAGAGCCCCTCCTCCCTGTGCCCCACGGCACTCCTGTGGCCTGGGGTCACTGAATGTGCCTGTGATGATGATATAGGTGACTCTGTGCGAGCCTGGGGCATGGGGCCGGGAGGATCTGCAACGACTCTGGTAAGGGAGCCTGGGGGCTCCTGCAGCTGCCCTGATGGCTGTGGGCAGGCTGGTGGGGCGGGGCTCCTCCTGGATGGACTCCATGTGAAGCATACCTGCAGCACAGAGTGAGGCGTGGGGCTGCTTGAGCTCCTGCCTGGGCCAGGAGGGTGGGACCAGCACCGTGGTCAGCCCTGGGCCTGGACTCAACGGGGAGGCAGGGAAGTGGCCTCCAGGCAGGCGGGGGCTGCCAGTAGTCACCTGATCTGAGGATAGGCAGGGCTTTGGGCGGCCAGGAAGGCCTGCATATCACTTAGGCGTGCTGGAAAGATAGGAGCTGGGCCTGTCCTGGCCCCGGGAGACTCTTGTTGGCTTCTGTCTTGCAGAAAGCTGGGCATTATCAGAGAGAGGGGAGCCCGGCAGGGGCCTCCCTCACCCACCGGCACCTAGGTCCTCTCCCTCTGCTCTTTCCTTGTGAACTCACAAATAAACCAGAAGTTAGTTGTCTACAGATGTAATTTTAACAGGAATTTTGTGGTGTGAGTTTACAGGAAAACGGTCTTTGGGAGCCAGCATCATTAGATTAGTCAGCCTAAAAAATGCTCTTTCCCAGAAGGGATGAGAGCAGCTGGCATGGGTGCCGCCCTCAGGCGGTCTTTCTGCTCCCTCAAGACCCCAGGGCCCGGCTTCGCTCAGGACCCCCCCACGGCGGGCAGCGCACTGCCTGGTCTGGGGCGCTTCCTGCAGGCTTGGGGTGGAATGTCTTAAGGTCCTCAGCATATTTTCTCTCTCTCATGGATGGCTGAATTTTCCCGAATGTCACTTAAAAAAACCCTCAAAACAAAATTAGAGAGACGTTTCTTACTTGACCTAAAATGCCTTTGCTCTTGCACTTACGTGAAGCCTGCTTCAGAGAGAACAGCGGAGGGAAGATGCGCGAGGAAGCTGGGGTCGCTATGGGCTCCCTTTGTGCCTCCCTTGCCCCCGGAGCCCGTCACGCCGAGCTCTTTCCCCAGGCTGGCGGTGCGTGCTTGGGAGCTCTGGGCTCCTCTCAGGAACAGAGAATCACCAAACCACCTCTCATTTTTAAATTTGCACCTAAAAAAAAAAAACAAAAAAACCACGATTGTTATTTCAATCAGATGGAATGAAAGTAACTCGGAGGACCAGGTTCTGACCTGCCCCAGCCAGGCTGTAAGGACGTCTGCCTCTGCCTGTGGACGTGGCCAGGGCTGTCAGGCTCTGGTGATGCACGTCAGGCCTCAGGGCCACCCCTTGTTTTAAGGCACCTGCAGACCCACAGGGTCTCTTGGAGTTGTTCAGACCTGGCACTGTTTGGGTGGTGTGCCCAGGGCTTGATTTGGGACTGCGGCCGGGGAGCAGGGCCTGTGTGATTGTGATCAGGCCCCAGGAGAACTGGCGTGGTCAGTTCCGTGTTGCTCAGGGTGGCTGGCAAGGTGGGAATGTGCATGCATGTGGAATCCAGACATGGAGGAAGAGCCGCTGTGCCATATGGCTGGAGCTGCTGCCAGATGAGCCCACGGGCCCCCACCGCACGCCTCACTTCACACCTTGATCGTGTTCGACACTGGTCTGAGGGCTCCGGCAGAAGCCATCTGGGGTCTTTCCTTTTTTTCCTGTTTTGTTGCCTAAAAACTACACATCAGAGGAGCAGCCCAAGCTCGTGGGTCCCTGGAGCTCCCTCCGCAGACGGGCCCCCTCACCTGCAGCCTGCAGCCCCTCTAGGCCTCTCTGGGGTGGGAGAGAAGAGGTTCTCAAGTGCCTTCTGTGGGAGCCGGAGCGTGGGTGCTCCATTTTGCCCCCAGCATTTGCTTTAGAAGGTCCTAGAGGTTCCCCGGGGCTCCCAACCTCAAGCTGAAAGTGTGCTTTAGTGCCCTGAATCAGTGAGTCGGACCCCAGCGCTGAGGACCCTCAAGGCACATCCCTGATTTCCCTGTGCATCCTGAGGAGCAAACTTGTTGGAAGTACCTCAGACTTTACACCCGCAGGGCTGGTTGAATTTTGAAGGTAAAACAGTATCAGCAGCCCTCCTCTTTGGGCAGCCCAGGCGGCCCCCCACCAAAGGAGCTGCCTGGTCTCCATGAGTCATTGCGCAGACGTAGAGCTTTGCCTGTGACAGATCGGGTGCCCAGGGACAAGGGCCCCCCCAGCCCCAGGTTCCCAGGGTGGGGACCACCTGGTGCCAGAGCCTGTGCTTCACGGGGGCCTGCCGAGTCTCTTCAGACTGCTACCTGGACAGTCAGTTGTGGTTTGCACATGGAATTGTGCAATTTCTCACACATTCTACCCTTAACAAAGTTTTGTTTAGGCAACAACAGGGATTTGAGATTGGGAGGGCTTACTGCATTTGACATTGTTTTCATTGAGACTGGACTATCATCGGTAAAGCAGAAATGTGGCTCAGGTCCTGAGGACAGATGGACACATTTGACCCTGTTACTTTGGATGCTGTGCCTAGGTTGGGCTGACCAGTTAGTGCCCATTAACATGCCTTGTGGGTAGATACTGTCATTACCACATTTTACAGCTAAGATACTGAGTCTGGGAGGTCCCTGGTTCTGCAAGGCTTCCAGAAGAGAGAAGCCCTTCACTCCCCGACAGGTCTCCCAGCCCTGCTGCCCAGCATCCCAGATAGGCCAGGAGGATGTCCTCACCTTCCTCCTGGGCACTGTCCCCACCTGGGAGATGTCCCTGGTCCAGCCCAGCCAGCCTCCCAACATGCTCTCCGTCTCCCGACTTGGTCATCTCCTGCAGCCAGACTTCACCTTCGCTTTGGCCTCATGCAGATGCCACTCTGCAGCCCTGGGTGGACCTCTCAGGAGTCACTGACCCCCTTTAGGTGTTTGCCTGTTGAACCACCTCTCTTGGCAGTGGTTGCCTCGCATTGGCCTGTGGGTGTTTCTGCCTGCCCCTGAGGACAGCCTGCAGCCCACCAGGCCTGGGGCCTGTCTGGAGGAGGACGGAGGCCACAGGGTTCTGGCCTGAGGTTCCCTTGACAACACCGGGCTGGACATAGCCAGGGAGGGTTCTGAATTTGGTTTTGAGGTAGGAAGGAAAACTTAGGTGGGAAGAAAAACTACTTAAATGCTCAGTGAGGGGTCTTCAGTTTTGAATTTCCCCTCTACTATCAGCTCCTTCTTGAGGCTGGGGTCTGCATTGAGACCAGGTCCACCAGATAGGAAGTCAGACTGCATCCCGCAAACTG